GTAGCATAATGACATTTTACAAAATTTAAATTCAAAAACATTTGAAATCTTTCAGAACATTTTAATTAGCATTTCATTTCAATTTTTTTTTTTGCCTTTTTACTGCCTTACTTTCTTCTGTGATTATGTGTGGATATTACTTTACTTATATCTACAATGTGTTAAATATGTATAGCATAAACTGCCATCTGGTTTGATTATAGAGTGAAAAAGGTTACAGTAAGAGTTCAGTGCTTTGACAGCAGCCTTGAATGGTGGAATTCAGTCTTTAAAGTGAACCAATATTGCTTATCATAAGGAAATAGCATGTGTTTGAGTAAGGGGCCACACTTTGGCATTCCAGAAAAATGTTACTGAATTATCTAAATCAATCGTTTGCACATTTTTCCATTAATCATTCAGTGAATCTTCCTCCCAAAGTATTTTATTTTAATGAAATCTGTCAACAATTTGTCAGACAGTAGTGATCTTATCTCTAATATGTCAGAATGTGGTCTATTTAGCAGATTACTTATTTTTACTATGATTTTTTTTTCAAAATGATGTTTCCATTACAAATGTACCAATTTACATTTTTAACTAGGAGATTGCTAAATTTTTAATGCATGTTTCCTTTTATGTGAAGCAAAATGAAGACTCAATATTGACTCTTAGGAACCATGTAGATATGTCTAAATGATTATCTGTCGCTAATCTGGTCCTTCTGGTCTTCCAGTGTCGCACCCATTGCCATTGTAATGGAGTCCATCCACCTTGCTGCTAATTGTCCTGTTCTTCTCTTTCCTTCCACCCTTTCCATTATTAGAGTCTTCTCCAGAGAGCTAGATCTTCATATCATGGGTCCAAAATATGATAATTTGAGCCTGGTCATTTGGGCCTCAAGTGAGAATTCTGGGTTGATGTATTTGATTATCCATTTGTTTGTTTTCTTGGCTGTCCTTAGTAGTCAGTCAGTCCTTAGTATTCTCAGTAGTCTTCTCCAACACCAAGTTTAAAAGGGTTAATACTCTTGCTATTCTTTTTCTTCAAAGTCATTCCAACCTTGTATATTATTGTTATTTGAGTCAGTTCAGGAGATGCTTAGATCTTGGCATAAAAACACTCAGTTTACAACTGTAAAGTGTTGTGAGCTCTGTGCTTTGACTTTTGGAGCTTTCTTGCCCTGAAGAAGAGAGTGATTTACACAATTTATATCTTGCTTGATTGCTTTGAGGATCTTTTCAAATCATTATTTGATATTGTTTGCATAAACTCTTTTACTTGAAAAATCAGATCTGTTTTGTTTCTTTACTCCTGGATTCCTGAATTACTTAACACATTAGTTTCTTGTAATTGTTGCTACCTTTAAGCTGTAATACTGGATACATGATTTCGTCTACTGGGATTCATCTCCTGAACTGTCAATATTCAGGAATACTCTCCTCTGATTCAACTTTATTTGCTGTGCTCTTACTTCAGCATAAATGAATTGAATAAATGGGTAGAATGTACCTTTTTATATGAATGCATAGCTCTGTACTTCTTACCACCTGGGTGCTTTGTCACTTGGGATGAATTGCATTGTCAGCTGAGGCTCCTCTTTGTCCTTTAGAGTTCATTTGCAGTATTGTTTGAAAAAAAGAACTATTTTGTTTCCTTTTTTAAAAAAAGGAAGTATCAGAAATTTCTCATCTCTTCTGAATCATCTAAAGAGCTATCTGCAGATCTTGAACTACCTGTTACCTATCTAGGAACTTCATAAAGAAATGATACATTATTGTTTTTGAACATTAAATAATCATTACGTAGTTGTCACAAATGGGCTGAGCTGAGGATTAAAATAGCAGCAGGTTTTGGAAAGTTCACAGGTAACTCTTCGTATAGCTTAGCAATTAGTGAACAAGATTTCAGCAATCCTCTTATCCTTTTATAGCACTTTGGGAAAGGCAGGATATTTTAATTTGCAACCTTTATTTCAATCTGTCATAAAAACAATTCCCTAAAAGAAATTGCTTTTGTTCCAATTATTCAACAGTTGTAAGCTGTATTATCTTTTGTGTGTGTGTGCCTTCAAGTCAATGTTGTCTCTTGGTGACTGCCTGGACAAGTCCCTGAAGTTTTTTTGGTAAGATTTTGGAAGTGATTTACCATTGCCTGCTTCCTAGGACTGAGAGAGAGTGACTGGCCCAGGATCACCCAGCTGGCTTTGTGCCTAAGGCGGAGCTAGAACTCATGGACTTCCAGTTTCAAGCCTGATGCCTTAACCACTACACCAAACTGGCTTTCTTGTATTATCCTTTAACTATGAATAAATGCTAAGCCTGCATCAAAAAAGAAAAGAAATCTGAATATAATAGTTGATTTGTTGGTATTTAATGGTATGACATTCACTAGCACTGAAAATTACATGAACCAGCACAGAAATGGATATTTTCAAATACTTGTGGGGAAGATTTGGGTTTAAATTGTATCTTGTATATGTTTTCCTTGCTGTGAATCAGGTTTGTTGTTTTTTTCTCTCTGATGTGGGAGCTGTTATTTGAGAAGTAACTATGTTGGTGTTGTAAAGTTTAGATGTAAAATGTTTTCTTTATAATACCACCATAATATAATTTATAATATACGTTATCTGACCTTTTCTTATGTTGTGTTTGTTTGGATGCTAACATGAAATTAATATTCTGTAATTTCCACAGTTCTGCTTCAGTCATTGGTATAAAAACATAAGAAGAGCCCAGGATCCCTGTGTCACACAGTGCCCAACCACATACATTTAGGAATTGTATTAAACATTACAATTAAAAAGATAAAAACTAATGCAAACTAAAAAAAATGAAAGAATAAAATGAAAAAACAAAAAGTTCAGAAAAAAATAGAAAAATAGAAAAGAAAGAAAAAATAGAAAAGAAAGAAAAAGAAAATAAATATACTTGTATAAAGAAATGACTTCCCCCTTCATCACAAGTATAAACAATTTTAGTAACTTACCACCTTCTCTTAAAATATAACAAATGATCTCTTCTTCCCATCTCATCTCTAATCTGTATCCCAGGGATCTCATACTCTGAGGCACCCCCTACCACCTACACTCTGTAGTTTGGACCTGCAGCACTCCCACAACCTCCGCTGGTCCTCCTGTGCCCCCTGCTGGTCCGCCCAAAGCCTCCACCAGCCCTTCTGTGGCCTTTGTCAACTCACCCAAGTCTCCCATGCTCCCTAGTGCTCACCTGTGCAAACCCCTACCTGCTCAGTGGCACCCATGTAACCCCCCCCCCATGCTTCTTACCTGGGATTCCTGCCTCTTCCTGCTTAATGACCCGTGCATCCTGGGATTACAGCAGCAACCAGGATTGCCATCACTAAGCATTGCACTTTACGACCACACCACTTAGTGATGGCAATCCCATTCCCAATTACCGTAGTAACCCAGAACTACCTGTATATCCAAGGACTGACTTGGATGCCTTTTGTTAGTAAAATGTGTTACTTCATTTATTATGTTATTTTCTTGCTGCAATACAAGATCTGATCCTCCTCTTACATGATGTGATCCATTCTTGTCCATTTCAGTTTACTGACCCAGAATGTCAGTGTTCGTATTCCTACTCTTACAAGTTTGCCTTGGTTTATGATTCTGTCATTTCATATACCAGTAGTATACATATTTTTGCAGTGTCACACTTTCGTTTTGCCTCTGGGCACATGACCAGCTGGTCATCCTTTGAACTTTAATCCAGCCACATCATAAGCCCATTATTACTTGTCCTTGCCCTTCTCCAGTAGCCAGATGGATACCTTTCAACTTCGGGGCATATCTTCTGGTATCATATTGACATTAGGAATGCTGGGAATATATAAACCTGTAAAACAAAAATTCTGACTCTATCTAGTACAGTTGCTTATCTTAGTTGTTTAGCTCTTAGCATCTCTGATACATGTGGCAGCTTCTGTACAGTCAGAGTAGAATCAAATCTAGTTATAGTCAAGTTAGGCAATATGCATCCAGGAACTATGGGATAAAAATATGAATTCTAAGCATTTCAGTGTACAGAATACTCAGTGTGGGAGTATTATTAAACAATGTACACTTTTCCAGAAATAACTTCTAATTAACTGAATCTAGATTGTTTCTATTACCCACGTTGTTTATTTGATTTATATAGCCGCCCATCTCACTTTTACATGACTCTAGGCGGTTTACAATAAAACTATTATATTGTTTTGGGGACATTGGTATTGTGAATATGCCACGAATCATGCAGTGGCCTGTCAATTTTTTTATTTTCCAGCAAAGGAGACAGAAAGTAAATTTTCAATTTGTTGTTGCTTTTGTTCATTATATTCAGTTCCAGGCTTTGGGCTGGGGGGAGTTGAATTGTACCAGGAAGGTGCCATGCTATATTTATTTGGCCAGAATTCTTCTATAAGTGAAGCTCATGAGTTAAATAGACCCCGTTCTATTTTAAAATGCATTTATATTGCCTACGTCCATACTTTCTGCAAAAGTTCACAGTAGCTTGTCCTGCGTTCTCAAATCTCCCTTAACAACAGTTTATAGTGGAAGAGGCCTTTTTATCTCTGGAAATAGACTGGCATTGTGTATTTTCAGGACATACTTTGGTGAAACAAAGTTAGTGCTGATGGGAACTGAATAAAGTATCTGTATTTCATACATGTATAAGAATGGTGTATTCCTCAGATGTTCAGAGAGAGAGATTTAACCCCTGTGCATTTTGCTTAATTATAACTGCCTGTTGCATTCATTTGTAAATAAGTATGGTAACGAAATACTTGGTTGCAATTGCAAATTTAATAAAAGAAGTCTCACAGGAGTGTCAATAAAAATATAAGTATTTTAAACTATTGAAACTGATATTTGCTTGATAACTGGCATGATACTTCACATCCCATTATGTGAGTGCCATCTTGTACTGAGGACACAATTTCCTATGCCAAGAATAGAAAGCTACACAATTATTGTTCATTTTGACAAGTTAGAACTTTTATTTTGTTATTAACAGGTTTGGCAAACATCGAAAAGATGACAAGATTGAGAAAATAAAAGTGCAGGAAGCTGTTACTTCAGAAGAGGAGAGAATACGTATGAAGCAAGAACAGGAGAGGTAGACTTGAGTCTTTTGCTTAAAACTTGGTAGCAAATCTTTTTACACATGGTATTTTTAGCTACAGAATTTTCATTTCCTTGGAGTTCATTTTGGGTCAAATGACTCAGATACGAGTATGTTTTCTAGAGCTCATGTAACTAATGGGAGGAAGCAGAATTTATATTGGATATAACAAATAATATGACTATATTCAGAGGCTGTTATGATAACAAGGTATCTTTTTTTTTCTTTTCTTTTTTTTCTTTAAGGAGGCAAGTGGAAGTGTGCCTGTACCAGAATTGATTATGTAGACAGTTTTGAAAACATTAATATTTATATGAAATTGAAATATATTTTGTATCTTTTTTCCCCAAATATCTTTGCATATCTACGTTTGTTGCAAGTTGATTTTATACTGTGTCATAATTTGGATTTTAAAATTGATCACTGGAAATAAATATTGTCACTGGAGATCAATCTTTTCCTGTTGTCCATGTAGTGTTGTATAGATTAAACACTTGGCTATAAAATAACAAGTGATTCTTGCTGCAGTGTTTTCCTCCAGGTTTTTGATTTTGATCTTCTTGTCAGATTATTGTTAATCCAGTCCCAGGTAACTTTCTGCTTAGTTTTTCCAGCCATCAATAGCTTGACTTACTGATTTACAAATATTTCAGTGTGCACACAGAACAACCTTTTAACATGTTTCCACATTCACTATACTTTAGGTGGGCTATATGTGTGGGCATACTGCAGAGGCTAGAGAAGCTTAAATAGCTAAGAGCTCTGCGAATCTATTGGTGTTCTTATGGACAGGCACATAAGGTTGCAACAGTAACATTCATTTAATACTCATAATACATGTGTTTGAACATAGGACTTGCAACACCACTCTGTTACTACAAGTGTAGTATCAAATCACATTGAATTAATTTACCTTGATTATCTTTGTAAGCAGGTAACAGTTATAAAGTCCTTCTATTATAAGCACAATATTTTGGATTTTTTACATTGAAGCAAATCCCTAAGGGTGATGGCTATTTATATTTTTGAAAAAAAAAATGATTGAACCTATTAAAATCAGGACTGTACACTCATTAGACTTTGAAACTGATAAAAAAAACAACAACTCACAGATCATCCGTTTAGATGCAGGGCAGCAATTTCAGTTGAAAGCGGTTTCTTAAACTAGTTTACAAATGCACACAGAGGCTTCCTTAGGATGTACTTCAGTATTTGCACACAATATGCATATGGTAACTTCTTAAAAAGAGTTTTGTTTTGGTTTCTCCTTTGTTTTTAATGGCATAGGTCACTTAATCTCTTTACTTGCTCTTTAGATCGCTATGCCTTTAACAGTGAAATACACTAGGGAACCAGGTTGGGTGTAATGAATTTACTGTGTATAGCAAAAATGCAACACAAATCCACAGGGTCAGAGAGCAAGTGAATACTCCATTAAAAAATCAATCAAGGCCACAATTATATAAAATTATTCTACCCTGACTCTATCATTTTAATAGTATTTTGCTCGCATTGTATTTTGCTCTAAGTCTTGAAAGTATTTTGTTCCCATTGATTAGAAGACATGCAAATTAATGTAGCTTAATTTTCTATTGAATGAATTGAATTGAATAGAGATTGCTGTTTTATACAGTACCAGTGCCTTACTACCGATACCATCTTATGTAAAGCAAGAAATTCCTCAGTTGTTCCTGATGTGTTATTGCAAACCAATGGAATTTTACAGAAAGAAAAATTAATTTCTCAAATGTGCGTATAGTATATATTTACTCAGATAAACAAGTTTATCAGAGTAAATATCATATACAATTACCCTATAAACATACTTTACTAATATAATCTTTTTCATGCATAAGCATGAATATATACACACACACACTTATATAATGTAAATATACTTTTAAATCAGCACAATACATTTTAAATCATTTTTTAAATATTGATATTTCTATTAAGAATCTATCAAGACCACTTGTTTTTATTATCAAGACCACTTGTTACTACAGTTGTACTACTACAACTGTAACTTCTTATAGGCCAATCACTATTAAATCGATGGGTGGGGTGGGGGAATGTGACCCATTATCCATTATTATTTTGGAGGAAAAGTCTAGAATCTCAAGCTTAAACCTGAATATTCATTTTGGGGAGAAGGGCTGTGCAGCAACTATGCTCCCAGGCATATAAATTTCACTTTCTATAAGAATCCATTTCTAATTGTTTTAGTGTTAGAACTGTAACACAATGAAAATGTAGTGGAGACATAATGTTACTTTTTTTTTTTCTGTCCTCAGTGATGTTAGTCATATGCAAAGGATGCCTCTGATACTCATGAAACCTATTCAAGATTGACACCTAAGCAATAATATTTTGTGGTTTAAATGTTAAAGAACTGTGGTATTATCAAAATATAATTGCTTCCTTAAGTGCAATAACTTACATTCTAAACTATTGTAACCTTCATTTTACATAGATAATTCCCTTGGCTGTATGTATCAGTTAAATAACTTAAAACAAAATATGTGTATACTGTGTGTGTGTTTCCTTATTTACTATTTATATCTATGTAGATTTCTATTTTATTTTAGAATACATAGCATTTGGTTGGCAGTAGATAGCTCCAATAGAATATATAAGCTAGAATGGCAGAAAGAGTATGGATGAATTTTGAGGCTTCTGCATCAGTCTCCAGAAGCTAAATGTGTGTGTATGCACAAAATGTCAATATATTTTGGCATTTATTATTTTAAAACACCATTGCATTTTACATCCTATACAATAGATTTCATTGTGATCCTATTTATATTTTTCTTTGCTGTTCACAATTCCCAAACCAGAAGGGGGAGCTCCCCACACTAGTTTTGCAGATCTTACATTCCTACCACAATGATGGAAGTAGTAGCAGAAATATTCCAAATTCAGTGTCTGTCCTAATTCATAGGATTGAAAGGAATGACTGAAATAAATACTTACATTTTCTTTACTAAATAAGAACCCTTCATTTCATAACTTGAAAACTCAATTTTATGTTTGAAAAGACCTTGAAACCTATTAAGAAAATAGTAGTGTTTTACTAATCCATTTATGATGTGGTACTTCAAAAATAATCAAACTCCTAACAGAAAAGTGATGTACAAAAAGGTTCCCCTTTGATAGGAGTTATAGTGCTGAGTAAAATTTTAAAAATTATTTAGTACAGAGCCTCTCTGAAAGTCACATTACTGACAAGTTATTTAGCCTTAGATATGGCCCTTACATGTTTAGCCGCCATAATTGGCCTAAAAGTGAAGATGGTGCATTTAGCAAAAAGAAAGAGGAATTATCAAGAAAATATGCATTGCAAAGATTTCCAGTGAGGTCATGGCAAACTAGATGTTCCTGAAGAAGCAGGGATGGCATTATGGTGGAGATTGGCAGCCAGATGGTGAATCCTGGCCAGTGAAATCTCTCCAGAGAAAGGATAGATTGTGAGATCTCCTTCATGTACTCCGGACAGCTTCTCCTCATGAGTAGACTGCAGGAATTGAGATTATTGCAGTCAGCTTGCGAGTCAAGCAGCTGGGAGTCAAGGGATTCTGACGAAACTCAGTCGTAATGTAGCCTATATGGACATAAAGTTCGGCAGAGCCTCATTTCTTAATCACTTTTGGAATTTTTTTTTTTTTTACTGCTTTTCAAATATTAAGAACCTTTGGAATGGCAAGTTTTATGGCATTCACTAGGTGAGTTTCTTTCAATCCTTAGCAAAAGAAGTTTTAAGTACAAGTTTAAGGACTTAGAAAAAAAATTTTTTTTGGAATAAACAGCAAAAGAGTGATTAGAGTGTTGATTTTGGAAAGTTATAAACAGACTAATGGTCCAGATAGATTTGAAATAAGATTTTGAAACTAAGTATAAGAATCCTTCCTGTGGGAAACTGCTGTTGTTTTGAATTATATATTAAAAACAAACAAACATGAGGACTTTGAAAGTTGGGCACTAGAGGGAACCAGAATGGAGCAAAAACTTTAACTTTGGACATATTGAAGGCTATTTGTGAACAATGGACTCAGAAGTTAATTTTAAGAATGTCTGCCATTATAGATAGAATCTGTGTAAATGATGTTATGGAAGAGGAACAAGTTCTGCTGGACAAGACTGAAATTGATTTGAATGTAGATTTAAAAATGACAGGCTATAAGAATGATATGGAAAAAGATTATATATTGGATATACAAATGAAACCAGTTTATGTCTTAGTAAGTAAAAGGACATACAACAAGCAGAAGAGTGACTTGGATAACTTTCCTATATTGGATTTACAAAAGAGACTTGTTAAAGTTTTGAAGGATTTTGTGGGAAGGGACAAAGAGATAATGAAAAGAAGTCAAGTTCTAGTACATTATTCAAAGGGATTAAAGATCAAGATTGTTAAAAGTAAAGGGAAGGAATATGAAGTTGGTTTATTTGATCAAGGCTAAAATAGATATATTGCTATCTCTGGTAATCCTTCATAGATAAGAAATGAGATATGGGAAGAAGAGATCATTTGTTGTATTTTAGGAGAAGGTGATAAGTTACTTAAATTGTTTATACTTGTTGTGATGAAGCAGAAAATCATTTCTTTATATATTGCTTTTTTATTTTTTATTTTTTATTTTCTATTTTTCTTTCTATTCTTTTTTCTTTTCTGCACTTTCTATTTTTTATTTCTGTTTTATTCTTTTTAGTTTGTATTAGCTTTTATCTTTTTAATCATGTTTAATATAATTATGATAAAAAAGAAAATACATTACAATTGAGAAAGAAATAAAGATTCTTATATAGATAAGTGTATATTGATTGTGTGTGTGTATATATGTATGTGTGTATATATATGTATATATACATACAATGTGTGTATGTTTGTGTGTATATATATATATAAATGTATATTGTGTGTATAT